AATTAAAAACAATATTAGGACAGTACTAAATTTGATTGAATACTACGAAGCTCACCCAGAAAAACAGGCAGCTTTAATTTTTTTAGATGCACAAAAAGCATTCGACAATCTCAATTGGAAATTCATGCTATATCAAATTTAATAGCTTGAACTTTGGCACTAATATAGAAAAAACACTACAAGAAATATACTCAAATCAAAAAGCAAGTGTATTATTAAATGGAGATCGTACCGAAGATTTTGAAACTGCAAAAGGAGTGAGACAAGGGTGTCCATTATTGCCTCTGTTATTTATCTTGTCTTTAGAAGTGTTGCTAGCTGCAACCAGACAAAACCCAGAGATTTATGGAATTAAGATTAGAAATGAGGAATATAAAGTTCAGGCATTTGCTGATGATTTGGTATTTATGGTGGAAGATCCAATGGGACCAATATTGTTGCAACAAATAGAAAAATTTGAGGAAGCAACAGGATTTAAAATAAATAAAAATAAAACTAAGATGATAGTCCAAAACTGTACAACAAAACAGAAAGTAGAATTAGAAAACATAATGGGACTGCAAATAGTAAAAAAGGTGAAATACCTGGGAATTTGGATATCACCCAGATGTTCATCATTAAAAGAGGACAATTATGTTAAACTGATTAAGCAAATCAGAAAAGAATTGGAATTATGGGTCAAATTGAAACTGTCTATATTAGGAAGAATAGCAACCTTGAAAATGAATACCTTACCAAAACTAATATATCTATTCCAAATGATTCCAATTAAATTAGGGAAATCTTTTTTTATAGAACTAAATAACATGACATCCAAGTTTGTCTGATTGGGCAAGCGGCCACGTATTAATATGAAATGATTACAAGATAATAGGAGCAGAGGCGGTCTCGGACTACCAGAATGGGAGCTTTATTACCAGGCAGCGGTGCTGAGTTGGATTAAGGATTGGATTAAATTAAGAGACAAGAAAATCTTAACATTAGAAGGACATGACCTCTTGATAGGTTGGCATGCATTTTTGTGGGAAAATAAAAGTATTATACATACCTATTTTAATCAACACCTAATAAGAGACTCATTGATTACAATTTGGGGAAAAAATCAAAGGTAAACACTATACAGAAATCCCACGATGGCTGTCAACCATGGAAGCCATAATACATCCAAATAGATTAGACCTACAGAAAGTGGTAAGCTATGAAGAACTATTAGTCAAGGCAAAATCAAACCAAGAACTGAAGGAAAATGGAATTATAATCAATTGGTGGCCATATTTGCAAATTCAAAATAAATATAAAAAAGACTCAAAAGATTTTGGATTTGACAAAGGGCAGAAGCAACTAGATAAAATATTAATGGGACCGGAACAAAAACTTGTAACTAAAATATATAAATATTTATTAGATTTTAAAATGGAAGACGAAATAGTCAAAAGTACAATGATTGCTTGGGCACAGAATTTTTGGATGCACTATAGAATTAGAGGAATGGGAGAAAATATGGAATATAAATTATAAATTAACGGTATCTGCAGCATACAAAGAAAACATATATAAAATGTTTTATAAAATGTATTTAGCCCCAACAAGATTGGCAAAAATCTGCTCCAACATGAGTCCTAAATGTTGGAAGTGCAAAAAAGTTGATGGTACATTTTATCACATGTGGTGGATGTGCCCCGAGGCCAGGACATACTGGATTCAAATTAAAAATTGGTTAAAAGAGATCACTGGCTATCAGATTGAGCTCAGACCGGAATCATTCCTATTAGGAATCATTAAAGAAAGACTACCAAAAGAAGTAAAATACCTAGTGTTACATATTATAACAGCCACCAGAATAGCCTATGCGCAGGTATGGAAAACACCAAATACCCCCAATGAAGAACTAATAATACACAAAGTAACAGAAAGTGCTGAGATAAATATGCTAACAATGAAATTGAAAGAAAAAGACGACTCTGGATTCTTTACAATTTGGAACAATTGGTATAAATGGCTAACAAACAGAACCAAGAAGTGAGACAAAAATGTTAATTGAAACAACCCTTAAGAAAGTAAAGTAAAATTTTGTAAACTATATAAAGATATAAGAATAGTAATTATAGCTAAAGATATTATTTAATAGTAGATAAACGCAATATAATGTATCATATTTAAACCAAAATCTTGTATAGATGCCAGGAACGTTGTAGATACCATGATGTTTTATGATGTTAAAAAAAAAAAGAAAATTAATAAAAATATATTTAAAAAAAAGATTGGTTTGGCTTGATCTATTTTTAACAAATCCTTGCTGTCTACTAGTTATAACTTAATTTGCTTCTAGCTGCTTGCAGATCTCTTTCTTGATTATCTTTTTCAGGATCTTTCCAGATATTGAAGTTTTTTCCCCCCTTTCTTGAAGATGGGAACCACCTGTTGAGGTAATTCCCCGTTAGGAGAATGAGTGCACACAGGGAGACGAAGTGAGAGTGGTGAAGAATAACACGCACACAGCACACAGCTACACTGTATAGTAGAATGTAGGTTTTTACTTCCAGTAAAACGGTTAAGCAAAGTTCAAAAAAACAGTCCAAGTCATTCACAGTTAAAGCAGTTAGTTTTCAGTCCAGGGATAATCCAATAACAAAGTCCAATATCAAAAACAGTTCAGTAACAGACTTACATCAAATCCAAGAATAACAGTCAATAGGGACAACAACACTCTCCAGAACAGAAAGAAACAGAGACTCACTCACACTATCTGAGACGAAACAATCCAGGTTTCTAGCTCCATCTTATGGCCATTTGAGAAACTACACCCAATTACAGTTTTAGGATTCTCTTAAAGATATAGTATTAAAACGTCTATCCTAGTTTATATATTTCCAACCCAAATAACTGTTAGGTGACTTATATTCCTAACACCACCTCAGCCCTTTTCCAATCCTCATGGGTCTGTTCTTTTTAGACTTTCTTGAAGATGAGAACCACTTTAGCCCCTTTCTAATGGTGCTCCAGAATTTTTGAAATGTTTGGTACAATGGTTCTGAGATAACACCTGCCAGCTCCTTCAGAACTCTGGGAGGTAATCTGTCAGATACCTGTGATTTATATTCGTCAAGGTCAGATAGGTGTTCTCTTAGCATTTTCTTGCTTATTTTAATTTCTAGTTTGTCTTTTACAGTAGGGTTTTTTTTTGTACGTTGGGCTATACTTTCTTTTTGCATAAAGACTAATGCAAAGAATGAGTTAAGCAGCTCTGCTTTCTCCCTATTGCCTGTTACTTCCTTGCCATCTTCTCTCTTTAGTGGAACTACTGTTTCTTTTACTTTTTTCTTGTTATTGATATGTTGAAAGAAACTTTTTTATTATCTTTGATTTTTGTTGCAAATCTTTGTTCATGCTGAGCCTTTGCTTTCCTGACTTCATCTTTACATGTTCTGGCTATCTGCTGATAATCAGGCTTAGTTATGTATCCCTCTTTCCATTTTTATTGTACTTGTTCTTTTTGTCTTTCAGTCTGTCAGAGAAATCTTTGTGCAGCCATGCTGGTTTCTTCTTGAATTTTTCTTTTTCAGTGGCTTTTATGATCACATTTTGCAGAGTTTCCCATGCTTCTTGAGTTGTTTTCTTCTTTAGGATTTTTGTCCATGTAATGTTTCCTAGGATTTCTCAGTTTGTTAAAATCAGCTCTTTTAAAGTTTAAGACATTGGTTGGATTATTTTCTATTGCTTGTGTTTGTATTATATTGAATTCCAGTATGATGTGATCACTTTCATCCAGGGGTGGAATTCTATAGAACCGGTTATGATTCTGTGCAGTATGGAGAACCGGCAAATCACACCCTTGGCTGGCCCCTCCCCTCTCTACCCAGTCAGTCCTTATTGAGCATATGCGACATTGCGAAAATGCCTGACATCGCTGTGTTCTCCTCTGCACTCCTTAACATATTTTTCCCCCTCCCGATGATCAGCTTGTTCTAATGATCAGCTGTGCAGGGATCCCCCCTCTGTGTTTTATTGCTTCGCCCAAGCTTCCCTGAGGCCTAGGAGGCAAAAAGGGACGGGCGGAGGGGGCGAGTGTGTGTGCTGCACACATGCACTCCCTCTGCGCTGTGCTTTTTGCCTTCCTGAGCCCCAAGAAAGCCTTCTGGGAGCAAAAATGCCCCCACCCCCAGGAGGCTTCCCTGAGGCCCAGGAGGCCAAAAAAGAGGGGGGGGGGGTTGCTGAGAAAAAAAAAGGCCAGGTCCACTCAGTCACATGGCCATGCCCGCCTAGCCATGCCCACAGAATTGGTTGTTAAAAAATTTGAATCCCACCTCTGCTTTCAACCAAGGTTCTAGCAACTTCAATTCCCTCTATCACTTCTCTATTAGTAAGAATTAAGTCCAATATAACTTTACCTCTAGTTCCCTCCTCTTTCTTTTGGATGACAAAGATGTCAGCTAGGTTTGTTACATATTTGTTTGATCTCCCATTGGTCTATGGTCCTCCCCTTCCAACTACCGGATGTCCTTCCCCAATTGGCATCTTCGCAATGTATTGAGCTGTATTACACCTCCCTGACTTTTGGCAATCCAACACATCAAAGGGGATTGCTGAAAACTCGCTAACAGTCCTTGGACAAACTATGCCTAAATATAAAATGACGTTTTCTTTCCTATTGTTTTTTTTCTCTTTTTCCGCTGTTTTTCTTTTCGTTGTTGCTTCAGCCGTCGATCTTCTGGCTTCCGCAGCTTTAAATTTACGAGACGTAGCCGAACACAACAATATTGGAAAGCTTCATTTCCCGTGGGCTTTCTTTGTCACTCGGGGGACTCCAGCCGCACAAGCAGGAACTACAGCCTCTTGCTGTCACAGTAAGTACCCACTCTTTCCTTTTGTCTTCGTCTGTTCCGGACGCGGCTGCCATCGCTGCCCCACAGTGCCCCCTGGTGTCCACGCAATAAAGCAGCAACAACCACCGCCTCTGACGCTGGCGCGTTGAGCTCTGGCCAGGCGGGGCGGTTGGTTGTTTTTCCAGACTCCATTTTAGGCTCGCTCTGGGCTGCGAAGGGTGTTGGATGAGCAGCTGTTTGCGGGGCAGCGGCGGGCTACGTCAAAGCCGTGCCTGGGCTCTGGCCTTGTTGCGCGTGCACGCTGTGTGACGCTACCCTCCCGTCCCTTGGGGCCTGGGCCGTGCTGAGCTTGAGAAGGAAATAGCAGCTCCCAGCGGACAGAAATGGGCGCTGGGATCCGCGCGGCCACTCACGTTTCTGGAAGGCGCTCCTGCTCTGAATCTTGCCGTTCCTAAGCCTGATTCACCGTCGGGCGCCTAGACAACCGCCGGCCCCGATGGAGACCCCAGTATCGGGGGCGCCTATTACCCTCATCATCAAAGCGCCCAACCAGAAGTACACGGACCAGACCATCAGCTGCTTCATGGACTGGACTGTCGGGAGACTGAAATGTCACCTCTCCAAGGTGTACCCCAGTAAGCCGGTGAGCCCCTCGCCTTTCTTTTAGCTCCTCCTCCTGAGTCCCCGGACGGAGCAGAATAGCCGGTGGGGTTCAGGACATGCCGACCGAGAAAAGCTGCTGCGTGAAAGCAGGACGCTTTATTTTTTTGCTTTTGGGCTTGCCATAGTTATGGTTTGAAAAGAGTATGGTGTTCTAAAATGGAGCTTTTCACATCCTCTCTGTATTTGAACATGCGTTCGTTGTTACATTTCAGGGTTTTAAGTTATACAACAGTCAGAAATAAAAGATAGCATTCCTACTGGGACTTCAATGCCATTTTAAATTACCTGCTCTTTCCCAACCAATGATGTGAAACCCTGGCATAGTGCTAATAACTAGGCATTTCCCCCTCATTATCCAAACCAAAATCTCACTTTTCCAAAGATTGTGTTTTTTAATTCAGTATCTAACAGTGGGCTCCCTTGTTGCTCATTTTCTCTTCCTTGAGCCCAAATAGGCACTCCTCTCTCTTAATTACTAGATTACAGATACTTCAGTTTTAAATGCATATTGTCTCCTAATAGTGCATAGTTTCCATTATTTTCCATTATTGGGATTTCAAGAAAGCCATTTCTATCCAAAATATACATACTAAGTCACACATATAATACAACTTTGTGCTTTAAAGAAATAACTAATTAGGAACTTGACTACTATGTCTGCAGAAGCAAATCCATGTTTTCCAATAATTATACAATCTGTAAAATAATCCCAGACTTATAAATAGTTATGTCTAAAAGTATGCTGCAATTAATCCTTTAAATGGTACTTGCTGAGCCACCAAAATCTTCTCTTGTAGCTTGTCATTCTACGGCACTACTTTATTGCAAACTTTGTTATTTTTCAGTTTGAAAATCATATACAGTGAGGTCATATGTTGTTACCCTGAGCTCAAATAATATACATATCTCCAAGAAAGTGGTCATCATAGTTCTAGTTAACTACACTATTGTTATTGCTTTTATTATTTGCATCATGACCTTTATTCAGTCATGAACGCATCCATTTTTAGACCATTCTTGTGATCTAAAAACAAGTTTTTGCTTCGGACTAAAAACATTAGACCATTCTTGTGATCTAAAAACAAGTTTTTGCTTCAGACAAAAAACATTAGCTTTGCTTTGGAGATTGGATCTCCAAAAGGATATCTTAATAAACAGCTCTTCCTCTTCCTGGGATAGCACAATCACTAGTCACATGATCCCAGGAAAAAATATCATACTGTTTATGTGCTGTAGTAAGGCGCTATGTTTGCACATGTTTTTGATCTGAAATAACTTTTGGAGATTGAATCCAACTACTGCACAATCCTACCTCCAACACCTGCTTTTTTTTTTTTTGAAATGACTGGAGTAAATAACCATTTTCTTTTAAAGGAGAGTCTCTTTCTTTTCATAATTCTGGGGTGAACAAAATTATCCCATCACTCTCGCTTTATCTCTTGATTAATTTTATTCAAGATATTATATAACTCAGTTAAATACAATATATTCTTGATTTTTCTGCAACTGTTTTGCAACTAGACAATAGATGGTTGTGTTGGAAGAAATGTCCATCTGGGTTCAGTTCCAAGTAGGAAGAAAGACACTGGAGAAATGGAGATAGTTTGGAAGGATGGTTTAATGGTGGACAGGACCACATGTGGTTTGAAATCCTGGGCAAAATGGAGCACATGGGTGAGAGAGGGAGAGAGATTTATACCCCCTATTGGTCTTTGAACTTGCTTCCTGTTCCTGTGGCAAGAATATATTCTGATTGGTTGTCAGACTCCCATGGGGCCATACAGGGGTAACTTTGTAGCTTGTCTTGAGTCCCAGATTTTGTTGAATCTTGCTGGATGATGTAATCTTCCCAGGTGCCATATGGTGAGATGGGTAATGGGCTAATCCTATCATGTTCAGGGGGTCTTAATCCCATCACCCTGGAGCTGAAATGGGGGCAGGGGGTTGCAGGAAGCTGCTTTCTCTTTTAAAACATATTCCTCCTTTTCTCATCCAGGAAAATACAATATTTTGCCTTTTTAATATGTCCTGGAATATTTCATTCTTCTAGGAGAGGGTGGGTGCTAACTTTCCCTTTTTGCCAAAATATGGGTGGAACACATGTTATTGGCAAAAGATTTAAAATTGATCAGATCAAGGAGACTTGATGGGTGCTTTTAATTTTTCTGATGCGAAGGGGAAGGCATTGATAGAGGCAGCAGAAATGGATTCCTTCAGTAACTCCCAAAAGGTCAGCTTTCAATCATGAAGGTCTAGCAGCCAGGGGAAAAATTGTGGAAAGAAATTTACAGTATCCGATTTTCCATGCCAATTACTTTTTGTGGTTAGATACCACTTTCTGTAAGCTTCCAATCAGGTTTCAAGCAAGCACAATCCCAAAATTCTTCACAGCCATGGTTTTCCTTTAAATAACTACAGGCTGCCCATTTCAAGGGTTGTTTCTTGAACCTGCCCTAGTTCTTACTTTTGTGAGGCCAAAGTGAGCTTAGCCATTGTGCAATCCAGGCCATTTAGTATTTTTAAAATTACATACAATGAGCCCTGGAACTCCTACTCATGAGACCACCAGCACAACATATCTTGCTTTACTGGTTGACTGGGCAGCATCATTTGAGAGTCACAATCAGGGCTTGGGCTTGGGTTTGGGAGATATCTTTTCTGCTATCTCTTCAAGTGAGGGAATTGCCTGAGTGGGATTCCCCCTCCCCCATGGAATTAGCAGGGAGATATGACTGCTTGGGTCTTAGTGCCACAGAGCAAAAACCAACCAACCAAGGAGCTTTGTGTGGAGGTAGGTGAAGGGGATAACTTCTGTCTAATTCTGAATGGTGTGTCTCTGTGCGTTCATGTATGCAGCTACTTTTAAATTACAGGCAATATTCTGGACAAATTTCCCTCCCACCAGACATAAGTCTAAGGTGTTCAGAACTTGCTGTGTCAACTACTCCCAAATACAATTCCACAGAGTTCATTTAACTGAATACAACATAAATGAGGCAAGAAAGAAAACTTCACAATGAATTTCCACCCTTCCCCATTGTTTTTCTAGCTGTCTTCTGGGGATTGAAAGGAGTTTTTTTAGTCTTTTAATTGTCCATCTCAGGGTCCTTTCTTTCATGTCTGCTGGATGGCATTAGGCTTGGCTTGTTGGTAAGGGTGGTCAGTCAGGCTTGGGAAGGTCTGCTCCACTCTGGTTGCTGTTATGATTTTCTAGAGGAGGGCTGGATCCAAATGCAATTCCTGGCTCAATGAATGGGAGATCTGGGTGAATGGGAGGCAGCATCTGGGTCAGCATTATCTGCTTCCACAGGTAGCAGAGTCATCTGTGCAGGGTTGAAAGACATGAGAACAAGCCCCCCTCCCCACTTTGTGGTTGATCCTCCGAGGAAAGGCATTGTAAGATTAGAGATGGGGGCAGGTGGAGTGGGGGGTGGGTAAATAGCTTGCAGGCAGGGCTTGAGGGGGAAAACACATCAATATTGCAATTATTAAACAGATAAACCAGTTTCAACAAAATGGAGACACAATAGATGAGAAAGAAAAAACTGGATTCATATGCTTCAGAAAAAGGATGGACAGATGAAATCATTTAAACACACAGTAAATGCAAGGATGAAACTTCCTGTAAATTAAAAACATTCAGTCACAACCTTGGGATTTTCTTAAAAGCACAGAGAGGAAAGAAAATAATAACAGTTCTTTTTACTCTGTTAGCCAGACAAAACAGAATGAAGGCTTTTTCTTTCTTTTCAGTGCTCCTAACTCTTTTCTAACAATTTAAAATTAATATCTCTAGGGATCAGAGACATTTTAACAGTTGCAATTACTTTGAGGGCACACAAAGACTTAGACGCACCCACACCCACACATACGCGCGCACACACAAACAGGAAGGAAAAAAAGAGGAAAGCAGAACTCTCACATGCTGGTCATTCCCACCATAAATCTCAGTTAAATTAGGGAAGGCACAAATCTTAACAAACATATCGCGTGGTTGCATGGAAGACAAAGAGGAAAAGAGAGAAACAGGCAAAAAATCCAACATTCCTATTTATATATTTTCCTTTTCTTTTAAGTACCTTTATTTAGCCAAATTGGTTTTCTAGCTCATCCCTGAGCAAGGTCCACTTCTTTACACAACCTTTTTTCCTCTTTCCTTTTTCATGCCCACCTGGAGAGGCAACTGCCTCTTTTAGTCCCAGGCGTCAAGCAAGTCTTCTCCCAGGCAGCCTACCCGGACCGTTGAGCTAGAGCATCCTATGTTTCCCCTCTGAAATAGGGATTCAGTTATCTGCTGGGTCCTGGCGAATCTTGGGCTTCCTAGTGAAACCCTCACCCCATCTCAGTTTTTAGACCGAAAAGGCTCTAGGATTCTGCTTCCATCTACAGAGTAAGGATACCCCCTCTGAGGGAATTTTGCTCTCAGTTTGCAGACCAAAAAGGGGTCTGAGAGGACTGCACTGCTCCCCACGGTGAGTATAGGCACCTCTTTTCCTGGCCATTTTCCTTTTCCTGTTTCAGTTTTCAGACTCATTAAAGTCCAAGAGGGACCTCTGCTTGCTTCCTAGAGGTAAGGACCCCCACCTTTTTAGAGCTCTGCTCAGTGACTTCCCAGCTAGTTGCTCCTGTTCAACTCTCTCATTCACTTTTCCCATCCATTTTCACACACTCTCTCCTTTCCCAAACAGAAGATCCTGTGCTCTGGCCTGACCTCCTATACTTTCAAGCCTCTATTGGTAGAACATACAGAGGAAGCAATATCCAGCTGTGATTGGGAGAAGGATCCCCTCACTCTCTCTCACACACAGGCATACATACATTTCCCATGCTTTTCTGGGCTATAAAATTAAAATTTAGAGATACTCACCTTCTTTCCAAGCAGCCTTTAAGTTCAACACTCAAACTCCTTTAAAACCTTTGTTCCAAATGGTCAAGGTCCAGGAAAATTCACCCACAGACTCAGTGAGTCTACTGCCGGCA